ACATTTTGATCCTTAATATGATCATTAGTCATTACTAGTTATTGTAATAAAATTTATGTGTACAGGTGATCATCTTGGTTTACCGCACTATATCAAACCCTTTGCAAGTATACCAGAGGATGAAATTATGGATGGTGTTAACTATGCATCTGGTTCTTCGGGTATTCTCGATGAAACGGGTTTTCAAGTGGTAATTTTAGTAATTTTGTACATGTTTATCATAGATTTATTTTTACTACGAGTATTTTTTACTTGTATATGACTAACTGATGGCATTATGAATATGTTAGGGGGATCGAGTTTGTATGAATAAACAGGTGAATAATCACAGAGAAGTAGTATCAAAGATTAAAAATAAACTAGGCTCTAAAAATGCTGGTATTCACCTCAACAAATGCCTATACTCCATCTATGTTGGAAGCAACGACTGGATGTTTAACTATTTTATGCGACCAACTGTTATGGCCACACACATGATTCCCGGTGTCTATGCTGATGAACTCATTAAAGAATTAACCGGTCAAATCAATGTAAGTCTTGCCTCTTATACGTGCTTAAACTTTTTTTATACGAATTAAATTGTCACATTAATAGTGAAATAACGTACAGTAACAACAAAATTCAAACAAAGACACATTTTTGTTTTTCTTACATTGTTCTCAATACACGTTTTTATTCATATTTTAGTTATTTTGTTTCAAAAGCTCATTTTGAAATGAATTTAACAGCATCTCACTAGCTATTGTATATTTCTATTGAGTATAAATACAAAATTTGATCAAAGTCTTAAGAAAAAGGCGTTATATTTTTACCTGTAATTTTAAGAAAAAGGCATTATATTTTTACTTGTAATTTTAATTTTGGCATATTTTGTTACTAATTTTCTCTTTTCTTTTTATGGTATGACCTCTTGAAGACTATTATTAGCCTGGGAGCAAGGAAGATCATATTATTTGGGCTCTCACCACTTGGTTGTCTTCCAATACTAAATTTAGTTCAGACTTGTTCAGGATTCATCAATGGTGTATTGAAGGATTATAATCACAAGTTGAAATCGCTAGTTTATAATTATAACAGCAAACACCCAGGAGTCAAATTGGTGTTCATAAACAGTATGGATATCATCTCTGCAAATAATCTTGAAAATCTTGGTAATTCCACATTTCATGTCACTCATTTTCTTCTTTATATATAATTTTCGCAAAACTTTTAGAATTACTCATAACTATGTATATGTTCATCATCTTTAGTTAAATTAACGATGAACATAGTTAAGAGCCTAACAAACGTAACAGTTAGACTACTAACAAAGGGCGAAATATAAACATTTAGAATGCACATCAAAGGTGTATGCTACATTTCACCAGTTGCTAGCTGCCTAAACTGTCTAAGACTACGGTCTTGTTTACTTCAACTTATTACAAAATATCGACAAACATAATTTCAAAAGTTGAACAGAGCAACGCCTAACTAATTTATGATTTTGTTTGCAGTTAGAGTGGGATTGAAAAATACAAATCAACCATGTTGTGGAGTGGCAGCAGAATGTATCCCATTTAGTCCACCATGTAGCGATCGAAAAGCACGAGCATATTGGGATCAAGAACATCCTACCGAGGCTGCTAACAAGATTTTGGCTTCAAGAGCCTACAAAGCCAAAATGTCCACGGACACTTATCCTATGGACATAAGCGCTTTAGCGGCTCACCACTAAAACCAGTGCATTCAACTACAAAATACAAAAACAAACAGATACGGAATACAAAGAGCTAACATTTGATGTGGTTGCGCTTGTCATTTTCGACAGGGCTCGTGCACGGTGCACAAGCTTCTCAAATAACTTCAATTTTTTTTCTTCAAATTTAGCCATTTAGGTGAGTCGTGAAGAAAAATAAGAGCCATGGCACAATTGGTTAGTCCAATTAGTCCCATGACGCGATTTAAACGTTTTAAATTGCACAAACAATCTCCCATTTGTGAGTTAACAAACAATTGAAAACTTGTAATCACACATTTGCAAAATATAATGGAAATACAGCAGCTTTGATCAATTTTTTGGATACTATTGGCATTAATAGACTTGTTTTTTTTTTTTTTTTATTGACTGACTAATTTTGTATTATTTTTTGTACCAATATTACATTACCCAAAAAAATAATCCAAAATAAAGATTCATCTATAGTTCATCCTAAGAGACTTAGAAATGGCTCCATGACTAAAATAGCCCTCAACATGGATGGCTTTCCTCTTTCTGATATTCGATTCGGGGGCGAAAGTATAGATAGGCAGGGGAATTAACAGAGGAATAGATCTTGAATAAAGTGGTGATTTGAAGAGATGGGTGATATCTTGAAGAGGCCTTCTAGCAGATATTCTGCGGCATTTGAGACACTTGCTTTGAAATTGAAAAACTGTGTTTGTGACTTGCTTTGATGAAGTGAAAGGTGGGATGTTCTCCTTGTTAGCCTGCATTGAACTTACCATTTTACTTTTATGAGGAATGGAGGAAGATGATTGACCCCAAAGAGACAAGACCTCGAAGACCGGCTTTTCGAGCCGGCTGGATGATAATGTGACAAGCAACACAAGTTTTGATTGAGAGAGATTTTAGGGGTGTTGAGTGAATGAAATATGAGTTGAAGAAAATGAGCTATATAGGAGAAAAAGGAGGGAAATATGAAACTTTTTTTTTTTGGGGTGTATTTTTATTCAAATTATGTTTGAGTTTTGAGTTTGGAGGGAGAAAAATATGTGAAAAATATGTGAGTTTTAAGGGAATAGCGCAAAGTTGAAATTACACCTGAAAATTTTGCAACCAAAAAACGCATCTATAAAATTCAATTTTAGGTATCACCCTTTTTGTATTATTATTTGATGTGCTTGTACGGAGCACTTCTTACTCCCTTAGGCTAGGGATATTCAAAAATATCAGATCTGTTTTGTTCAAAATTCCGATGATTCGACTTGAAATTTTGGATATTTAATTCGGTTATACAATTTCAAATAATTTGAATTAGAAATTCAAAAAAAAAAAAAAATCGGGCTTTTGGATCAGATACAAATTGGAATTTTTTCAAATATTTTAGCAACCCGTTTATACGATCTGAAATTTTGGATTGAATTTGGATTGCAATTCGTTACATAAAATGTCTTTCACCGACCCTCTTATAAGAAGGATGGTTATTTAACAATTTAAGTCAATTATCATCTATCCTATAATATGAAAATAAATGTATACTTCTTCTGTTTTTTAATACTTGCAATACTTTTTTTAAATGAAAATGTCACAATACTTGCAACACACTATAAATAAAAAGTTATTTTAGGAAAAAACTATATTATTTCTCTTATTTAAAGCACATGACCCACTAAATTACACTCTTAACAACCACTCATCCCATTTTAAAGTGTGTGAACCCCACATTTATTAAATATCGTGAAAAAGTGTGTTGCATCTATAAATATATAATTGCAAATCACAAGGTCTTAAATAATAATAATAATAATAATAATAATAATAATAATAATAATAATCCCAAATATGTACGTTATCACAAAGAATCATTTTATTAGGAAGTCTAGCAACTAAAAAAACTCCCTTGAAAGAGAGGGCTCTCTCCTCGAAAGAAAGTCGTTCCTTCGCCTTGAGCGATTTCCCTCCGTCACGACAGTGTTTGCCTCGGTGATGGCCGACGAGTTGGCACAGAAGTGTGCGATTCTCCGGATTGATAAAGATGAAGGTGGTCTGATTGATTTAGGGGAGGTGGAGTGCGAAGAATCGAATGAAAACATTGACCTACTGCTAATTGGGCGACTTTGCACATCTCGTCCATATAATGTCGAAGCTTTTAAAAGGACTATGAAGAAGGTATGGGCACCATCTAATGATCTGGTCATTAGGGTGATTAGCCCTAATTTGTACGCTTTCCAATTTTTCCATTGGAAAGATAAAGAGAAGATTATGAAGGGTCGGCCATGGTGTTGGGAGAACAATTTACTCGTTTTGAATGAAATTAATGGCGATGAACAACCTGACCGTGTCGAATTAAATCGTTCCCCTTTCTGGATTAGAGTGATGAATTTACCGTTTAATTGTAGGTCGGATGCTTATGTTAAGGCCTTAACTGCTAACCTAGGCGAATTCTTGGAGGTGGAGGAAGATTCTCTAGGACTTGGCAGATTAAGGAGAATTAGATTGATGCTGGACATTGAAAAACCTTTGCGTCGATACCAATGGGTGAAAGACAGAAAAGGCGAAGAAGTCCGGATTGAATTTAAATATGAGAGGCTGCCATATTTTTGCTTCGCTTGTGGCGTTATTGGCCACTCTGAGAAAGACTGCACCTCGGTGTCAGAAGAGGAGAGATTGAAAAGGATGGGTTGGGGTCTGTTCTTGCGTGCCTCACCAAGGAAAGGGATCCAGAAACAAATTGATGAATTTAATCAAATTGCTAGCTGTAGAAAGCAACTCTTTGTTACCAAGGATAAAGACAAAGATACGACTGTTCTGAAAGTGTCTTGTTCATCTGGTGGGAGTGTAAGCTCACTAGTAGAGGGAGATGGAATTGATGGGTAGGGAAGTAGTGTTACTACTTATGCTACAGAGAAGGAAGCAGGGGAGAATCAATTAGCTTTAATTGTTGGAGAAAAGGTGGGCCAGGGGAAGGTGGTGGGGTCCGAGGAAGTAGTGGTAGAGGAAGCTGGGGAAGTAGGTAAGGGCAGCGAATTACCTCCTGCTTTTATATTTGGTGGGGATAGTAAGAAGGGTGGGGGAAGAGTTGGAAGAGGATCTAAAGGACTGCAGGGGATGGGGTGATGGAAGTTGATGAGGGGGGAGATAAACTTGCTTTTAAGGCTCAGAAAAGAGGTTGTGGTGAGGAGGTGGAGGTGAACACAGAAGGTAGTGAAGGGGAGAGGAAACGAAGAAAGAGTAGTTCCCAATTCCCAGCTCCATCTGTTTTATTGACGGAGGTTGGCCAGTTCCAACCCCGTCGTTTGCAATGAGTCTTCTATGTTGGAACTGTCGGGGTGTGGGCAACCCTTGGACAGTTCAAAGGCTCCGTAAATGGAGTAGAGCAGTAAGCCCGGATTTAGTTTTCATTTCGGAAACTAAAATTGGTAAGGAAGCAGTAGAGAGTATAAAAGGGAGAATTGGCTATACGAATGCTTTTGGAGTGGCTTGTAGAGGAAAATCAGGGGGTCTATGTCTATTTTGGAGTGAGGAGGAAATTAATTTCGCTCTTGTTTCTTTCTCACAAAACCACATTTGTGGGGATGTGATGAAAGGTGGTGATCGATGGCGCTTTGTGGGAATGTATGGGTGGCCGGAATCGGGGAACAAATATCAAACATGGAAGTTAATACAACATCTATGTGATGAGGCTAGTGACCCGATTGTGTTTGGTGGCGATTTTAATGAAATATTGTCTTTTAATGAGATTGAAGGGGGTGCAAGTCGTGAAAGGAGAGAAATAGGAGGCTTTAGAGAGGCTCTTGATTCTTGTGAGCTTAGAGACCTTGGCTTTAAAGGCCAATGGTGGACATGGGAGAGGGGGAGAAAGGTTCGCACAAGAGTAAGAGAAAGATTAGATCGGTTTGTTGCTTCTTCATCTTGGATGCACATTTACCCACGAGCCTCAGTTGAACACTTGTTGAAATTCTGCTCGGACCACGCCCCTATTGTCTTGAAATTAACTCCGAAAGCTAAAAAGAGGCAAAAGCGAACCAAGAGCTTCAAGTTTGAAACTGCTTGGCTTTTTGATAACACTTGCGAAACTGTTGTGAGGGAAGCGTGGCACTCTGATGAGGAGTATGATGTGCTGGGTAAACTTGGTGCAACCAGTGTACGACTGGCGGGGTGGAGTAAAGATAAGTTTGACGCCTTAGGGAAGCAGATTGAAGAGGCCGAATTTGCTCTAAAACTGGTGCAGCAAGAAAGGATTACGGAGGAGTCTTGTGATAGGAGTGCTCACCTTGAGCAAACTCTTGATGATTTACATAGGAAGTATGAAGCATATTGGTTTCTCCGTTCTCAAGTTCTTGAAGTGCGGGATAGTGACAAGAACACTAGCTATTACCACCACAAGGCTTCTCATAGAAGGGAAAAAAAAACACCATCGAAGGGTTGTATGATGATGAAGGAGTGTGATGGGAGGATGACGACTGCTTGGAAGGCATTGTGAGTGGGTTCTATTCGAATCTTTTTACCTCGTCAAACCCTTCAAGTGCGAAATGCCAAGAGGTTCTACAACATGTGTCGGCTTGTATTAAGGCAGAAAATAAGAGGAGTTGCTCTGTCCCTATACGAAAGATGAGGTTTTTGCCGCTCTTCAGCAAATGCACCCTTGTAAAGCCCCCGGCCCGGATGGTATGCATGCTATTTTTTATCAAAGATTTTGGCATATTGTAGGTGATGACGTTTTTAATTTTGTTCGCAATATTTTGTGTGGTGTCTCTTCTCTAAATAATGTTAAGCATACTAATGTTGCTCTTATCCCGAAAGTAAAATCTCATACAAGTATGTCTGACTTCCGGGCGATAAGCCTGTGTAATGTGTTGTATAAGCTGGTTTCAAAAGCCCTTGTTCTTTGATTAAAATCTATTCTGCCTGATGTGGTCTCTGAAAATCAAAGTGCTTTTGTTCCGGGGCGATTGATTACGGACAATGCTCTCATTGCCTTAGAATTATTTCATACGATGAAGAACCGAAATCGGAGTAAAAGGGTACTATTGCTTTGAAACTTTACATGAGTAAGGCCTACGATAGAGTAGAATGAGGCTTTCTTAGGAAACTTCTCCTCACTATGGGTTTTGATGGAAGATGGGTGAATTTGGTCATGCATTGTGTGTCTTCGGTCTCATATTCTTTCATTATTAATGGGAGAGTATGTGTGTAGACACCCATTTGTGTCTCCCCAAAACCAAACCCAGTGATGAGTGCCTTTCACGTCGAATCATAATCGAATGAAGCGAAAGTGTGGAAAGTCTAGTGTTGCGGAAAGTTTTAAGTTTCTTTTCTCTTCTCTCTGTTTTTGAAAACTTATTTTAAGAAAACAGCTAATACAGTTTGGTTGGTCCATGATATGGGTCCAATATTAGTGTAGTTGGATGGGGCTTGCAAAGACCTTTCCAACGATATATTATAAGCCCAATTCCGATGAATATTGAGGAAGTTATGGCCAATTTACCAAACTGGGCCCGGTTTGAGCTTTATGTACGGCCCAATGATCTAGGGGAGGGCCTAATATGATTTATCATTCCTAATGCAATAGGAATGGTTTTAGTCTTCTAGAATCTTCTAGAAGGTTCTTTTCATTCCTAATTCAATTAGCATTGATAAATTGACTTTTGACTTTTCAGAGTTTTAATCAAAATCAAATAGCATTTTCGAGGAAATTATATGATTTTATCCTCCAGTACGGCAAACTTATCTGATTTTCGAAAACGCGTTAAAATTAGGCTTGGCGCCTGACCCCGGGCTTTGGCGCCTGGCGCCTGGCGCAGTGGCGCTAGTGTTGGTGCCTGGCGCCAGCTAGCCAGGGTTTGCGCCAACTCTGTTTTTTGTGCGTCAGACTCTGTTTTATTTATTTTATCTTTTTGGCTGATTTTCTCTATAAATAACGTATTAAAAACTCCGTTTTGAATCATCTACATTCACCAATTCTCCTCATTCACCAATTCTCACGATCATTCACCTACAATCAGTTTTCTAATTCTTTTATCTCTCTCTCATTCCTTAATTCTTTCTTTCTTTTAATTCTAAACTTTGTTTTTTACATACAAAATTCCGCATTCACAAGATCTAGGAACACCTAGCCATATTCGAAGTTGCCTTTGCCCTAGACGTGAAAGGTTTAATTTCTGAGGGTTTGGTTCCAAATCTCTATTTCAATTATTTAATTTAATTGTTTTGATTATTATTTTCCTTGAAGTTACTAACGTGTGTATTTTGTTATTAGAAAGAGGTACGAGGCATCAAAGTAAGTGCTTTAATGGTTTTAATTGATGTTATGATGTAGAAATCATGTTTATATTGTTATTATGATATTCCTAGTATCATGTCTAGGGTAACTTTAATATTAAATATGATTGCTATGATGCTTCCTATGTTCTTCCTAATATTTATGATTGTTAGTATCATGTTAGGGTTAAAGATTTGATTTTTATTGCTTAGTGACACGCTAGGGTTTGTTATTAATCTTGTTAGTATCATGCCTAGGATCTTGCTATTATTATGCTTTAACATGATTTATGATTATTGTTTTGATTATGATTATAATTTTATAATTATTGTGATTATGATTAACATGATTATTATTATGGTTAATATGATTGTTATTATGATGATTATTTCATTGTTATAATTTTATGATCATGATTATATTTATTATTATGTTGCTTGATTTATTATTTATTGCTTGATCACACCTTTTATGCATGTTTAAAGGGAGTTGGTATTTGTAATCACGATTAATAAGATAATTAATAATCTTGTTAGGTTTAATATGATTATAATTCAAGTGATCGCCAATAATAGTTTGTTTGTGCATTAAATTCAACCAACATAGATAAACAGGTTTAGGGTTAATCCTATTGATTGCATGTTAGTCAAAAAGCGCACATGAATACGATCAGAATAAAGTAGAGGCCTATTATTAGGGCAGATTCAATCTCTTTTAGGTTGGATTTGTACCTTCATCCCCGAACCCTTATTTGATTCAAGACCTTATGGAGTTGACGATCTCATGGATCGTTAAGGGGTGTAGCCTTCACCCTGTGAATGGTTTACAAGTTCCTAAAACTTGTTGGCGGCTCTTTTGCTCTATCTTCTTCCATTTTGGACGCCACTGTACTTTAGTGTATGATCACAGTGGGGTTCAAGCTAGGGGTTAACGCTTGAAATTTATTCCCTACAGTTTTTGGCGACTCCACCGGGGAGGATTTCTATTTTAATTTCTGAATTTTTTTCGGCAATGATTTAGAATGAGTGGATGAGACTCGAAACGTTCTAAGTATTTCATGTGCGTAATTTTGATTAAAAGTATTGTCATATGCATAAAAAAGATCTCATTGGAAAGACCATCCGTAATGAGTTAAAAACATAGGATTTTACACGTAGGAAATTTGAGAAATATATTTCACAACTAGGACTGAAATAACACCGCGCGAAACTGGAAAATCTTATCGAGCACAGAAAGCTGCTGAGGCATGTGGGAAGTAGCGTCAGGGGCCAGAGCTTGGCGCCAGCATTTTGGTCGTAGCGCCAGACGCTAATATTGGTGCCAGGCGCTACAGTTTAAAGCTGGCGCCAGTCTCTGATTGCTGGCGCCAATTTCCCCCAATACCGAGCCAGAAATTTGCGAGTTTTTTCTAAAACTCGCGGTGTCCCATCCACTCGCGCCAACCCTTCACGGTTAGGCTTCCGCGCGGTGCATCCAGACAATTAACCATGGACCCTCATTGATTAAACCATATCCCAAACTTTAGAGAACTAAAGCCATGGTTAGGTTGCAAACTCATTGCATCATATTGTGCCTACTTGACTAATTGTGCATTTTTTGTTGTGCATACTCTATGTGATTTTTCCTAACCGTTTGTTTGACTTGTGTTAAGACTAAATAAAATAATTAATGACTAAAGGACTTTGTTTAATCGAGTCATAGTTCCTTTAAGTCAACCCAGATTTTTATTCCCGTATACTGCACAAACGTCAACTTGTTTTGGTCATAGCCAGAGTTCTAGGAATAACTACGAGTCGTACAACCTATGGATCTGTAGCCCCGAGTTTTTTCTTTAATTTGGCGTTGGTTTCATTCCAATCAGAGCCGCAGATAAAAGGTTATGACTAAAATACCACAGTCTGTCCAGTTTAATGCATATACATGAGGTCTTAACTTAGTCTTTGCTTGAGTCTAGTCACATAGTCTAGCCACATGGTCATAACACGAGTTTTAACATGTCACCTACACTCAATAGTCCTAGCACACACTTTGAGTACACATCACCATGACTATGTCTTAGGTTCATGCATGAGTCGGTCTTTTCCGTCATTTGAGTTGGAGGGTACATTCTATTCCTAATTCCTCATATCCCTCCATCTACATCATTTTCCTTCACATTCTATTACAATATTTCTTCACATCTTCCTTCCATTGCATGTTGAATAGAGTTTGAGTTAAATAATTAACAATGAATATCCCCAAATTCCTTTTCCACGGTATTTGGTCGAGGAGAGAAGGGCGATTAATCAAGGACAACCTCTTTGTTCAAGTCTCACTTTTTGATAAACCGATTTTTCAAAAGAGGAAGGCTAAGAAGATAATGGAAACTCAAGAGGAAGTTAATGAACTTAGGAGTCAATTGACTAACGTGACTGAGACACTGAAGCTACTCACACTCAAGATCGATGATCCCGTGAAGCAACAACAAATGAACCTCATGCAAGAGAGTCTAAGCAAGCTATCTAGCGACTATAAATTTCAGGGCATGAGTTCACAAGGGGTCTCGCTGGACAAGGAACTTCTTCCACATAAGTTCAACACCACTGACATCCCAAAATTCAGAGCAACTGACAACCCTTACTTTCATTTAAGAGCTTTCGAAACTATAATGAACATTAAGGGTATCGATAAGAAGGTTTTCCCATCTCTGTTCTCACTATCTCTTGAAACTGTTTTCCAACAATGGTTCTTCTCCCTTGACAAGGAGAAAACCTCTACCTGGGAATCGATGGTAAACACTTTCATTAATAGGTACAAGTGCAATATTCAAGTTGAAACCGACCATAGACAACTTGAGATGCTAAGACAAAAAAAAGAATGAAGGCTTTACTTCTTTCTTTAATAAATGGAGAGAAACTTCTGCCAAGATGATTGAAGTCCCCACCAAAAAGGAGTCTGTGAGGATGTTTATCAAGAACCTTCAAAAGAAGTATTCGAAGCATTTAAAATATCAACTCAATCTGAATACTTTCAAGGCCGTTTATGACATCATAATTAAAATCAAAGATGACTTCGCGAAGCAAAAAGCTACTAACAATAATAACCACGGTGGCTGGAAAGGAAAGAAGAACGACAATCCTTCTTCTTCCGAAAACGCCCACTCTAGTAACAATGTTAGTACCTTTGATCTCAGTGAAGTTTTAGCCATAGATAACCAAGGATCTAAGAAGCAACTAAGGAAT